AAAATCATTTTAACAGCAAATGTTATATTACTCTCAATCGCTTCCCTGTCGGACACCAAATGCGCAAACGGTTATTATATCCAGATTTCATCAGCCGTTCCGATGCCTAAAAACAACTGCAACTCTCCGTATGGCACCCGACAGGTAAGGGTTGTCGACACGTTGTTTAAGATAATCGGCGGCTATTGTGAGTCCACTTGTAGAGGAAATGGCAATTGGTCTTACAATCCTGGCATCCGTTTTAATAATATTTTTACTCATTATAACCAGTATGACTTATCATTTTAAGACACGTTTAAATCATTAATAAATTATAATTAAAATTAAATTATATTTATTTCATATTTTACAAAACTTCATCACTATAGTTAGCTATGTATTAGTTACACTGTAAATATTATATATTCAATTAAAAATAAAAAAATAAATATTTTCAATCTATTTTACTATATAATCAGTGATTATTAATCACTAATTCGTACGATTCTTAGTCTTCCTATTCTCGAGTTGGGCAATGAGTTTTTCATTGGTCTTACATTCCTATCAAAATCAATGTAAAATAATGAGCAAATCATTTTTAAATCAGTGTTTATTAATAGTAAAATACAAACCTCTTTGAAATCTTTAACCCCTTTATAATAAAGGCGTTGCTTTTCAATTAACTCCAAATAAGAGTCATTCAATTCATCGCGTTTAAAATCATTTTTAAATCAGTGTTTATTAATAGTAAAATACAAACCTCTTTGAAATCTTTAACCCCTTTATAATAAAGGCGTTGCTTTTCAATTAACTCCAAATAAGAGTCATTCAATTCATCGCGTTTTGCTTTCTCCGTAAACCTTCTGTTCTCTACTTTGAGTTTCGTTTGTTTAATATTTTCAACGATTTGCTCAAATTGTAACAAATATTCTTCTTTAACATTATTAGAGTTTTGAGCTCTAAATCAAAAAATGTCAAAATTATTATTATATATGAAAATGTAAATAAAAATATCTTTAAGAAAACTCACTGATAAAAGTTGTCTAATATAGAGCCGATTAAAGTGAGCTCTTTTTCCAAATACATTCTCTCGTCATCTAATGTGTTATAAAGAGTATAAAACTTTTTCGTTTCGTTATGTTTTGCGGCCACTATTGTATTGAATAAACACATTATTAGCATTAATTTCAATTCAAATCAACTCATAAACACAAACCCTGATTATACAACTCAATGAACCTCTTCTGGTACTGCGAGAGCTCAGCCCGAGTCGGTATGTCATCGAACTTGCGCTGAATTTACCTGTGTAAAAATAATTCAAGACGGTTAACAAAGAATACAAACCTCACAAAGAGAAGTATTGAAACATGAAGCCAAAGGTGAAGTCAGAGCAGAAGCCACAGACAGCAGACTAATCTGTTGAGAAGAATTTGTTTCTCTAATCTCTGTTTCTCTTCTCTACAAAATTGTTTAAATTCTGACTTTTGTTTCTTAAGCGCATCCAAAATACAGTTCAAATTCCTCTTCTCCTCTCTTTCCTCGTCCTTCTCGTTGTCTTTCGGTGCAAACGATTGCTGTCTTTGTTTCACAATTTCGATTCGCTGTCCAAATAATTGTATTTTATCCCTAATTTCTGACTCTTTTTGTTTGGCAATTGAGAGCTCTTTCTTAGCGGTTTCCACACGACTCCTGATCTCTCGTTCCTTGCGTTCAATGCTATTCTCTTCCCTCTCTAATCGATGTCTATTGTACTCTTCGGCTAACTTTTGTATTTCTTCTGATTGGGCGCCGACTATAGAGCCAACAAAAGCGGCCGATATTTTGTTTGACTCGGTTTGCATTGAAGTCATCAGCGAATCCGTTAGCTGTGATGGACACATTTTTATTAAGTTCTGCCAATTGTTTCTTATGTTTGGAGTGTTTCTCTTCATAACTTTGTACTTCGGTTTCCACTTCAGTCTCGTCTTCGGTGTCTGTCGTCTGATTAGACAACTCTTCGATTTGTTTCTCTAATCTCTGTTTCTCTTCTCTACAAAATTGTTTAAACTCTGACTTTTGTTTCTTAAGCGCATCCAAAATACAGTTCAAATTCCTCTTCTCCTCCCTTTCCTCGTCCTTCTCGTTGTCTTTCGGTGCAAACGATTGCTGTCTTTGTTTCACGATTTCGATTCGCTGTCCAAATAATTGTATTTTATCCCTAATTTCTGACTCTTTTTGTTTGGCAATTGAGAGCTCTTTCTTAGCCGTTTCCACACGACTCCTGATCTCTCGTTCCTTGCGTTCAATGCTATTCTCTTCCCTCTCTAATCGATGCCTATTGTACTCTTCGGCTAACTTTTGTATTTCTTCTGATTGGGCGCCGACTATAGAGCCAACAAAAGCGGCCGATATTTTGTTTGACTCGGTTTGCATTGAAGTCATCAGCGAATCCGTTAGCTGTGAATCCGAACCATTCTTCCGGTTATCGGTTTGTTCGCCGCTCTTATCGGCACCAGAAGTGATATCACTCGCACTACTCTTACCGATAAACCCGTATTCAAGAAGTGTTGTGCGAACTCTAATCTCGGGATCAATAAGTTTATGTCGGGCCGGATGTCTGTATTTACGTTTCGGATGGCTTTGCGTATCAGCTTTGGACAGAGAGTCAGACAATTGACTTGTGTCTGAACTATGGCACCGATTGAACTGCCAGTTCGCGTAATTCTTCAAATACTCATTCATCTGCTGTCGCGTCTCAATCGACTTCTTAACCAACCATTGAATCACTTAATTATTTTAATGTCAAATAAAAATATAAATTCAGTTTATTTGCCATCAATTTGTATATGAATTACCGGGAAATATATGAATGCAATCCATTCCCTGGATCTGATGCGGCTCTATCTTGTGTGGACACGACATCGTTTGCAATACCCGTACGATCTTCTCAGTCAACGCTCTGATGGCAACCAAATCAATGGTTAATAAGTGACAATCAAATGACAAAATCGCTAATTATTATTGAAACTCACATTTTCTGACCGATTGTCAGACTTTCGTGAAAGAGTATATCGACGTCGAGATCGACATTTGACATCTCGATGGCCCAACTCATGCCTCCCACCACCTGATCCGCAACAACACAACTCATGGTTAATATCATCGATAAGTTAATTCATATAACAAACAACTCAAATACTTTATCAAAATTGTTGAGTCCTTTAATTCTGGCCCTAAAATAGCCGCCGGCGACCAATAAGTTGATAATCTCTTGCATTTTGATGGCCTGTTCCTCGTCTTCGCGCACATCCGGTATGACAGCCATCGATGGGTGCGATGTCTGGTCGAGGGGTCGGCTCCGGACACGAGTGGCCGGCACTGGTTTGGTTGAAATCATGTCCACATGTATTGGTGTTTGGATTCACGGGTTTGTATTGTGAAATGTTTTCACTACCAAAACAAGTGTTCCTCCCATTCATGCCATTCAGGCTATCATTCAATACAAAACATGCGCTGAATGTGAGGTACAGTTGAGAGCGAGAGACGAGAGATGACATACCGTTTGCTCCCATAGTTTGCACACTTTGTAGGGTATGTGTAATGAAAGCACAGGTAATACTGTAATACAGGTATGGATTACATTACCTGCGCTACTATTAGCACAGAAGTAGTGCCTTCACTGAACACTCTCTTATTGTGTACCATATATTCAAAACAGGTCTCAAATGTATTTAATTGACTCTCAATTTGTTGCCACAATAATGAGCTTATATTACAAACTTGTAATTTTAATGTGGGAAATTGGTGCTAGGTGGGTTGGCTGGGGTAGGCATGCATTGCACTACAATACTGTTCATTACAATTACTTTCTGTGCAAAATCTTAACATATTTTACAATTGAAACAAAACTTTTTTTAATATTAAAACTTTAATAAATGGCTTTTTATTGAAGTTGATTGTCTTAATGAACTTTTTGTATGATGTTCAATTAGGGATTGCGTGTAATGCGCTAGCTCAGTTTGAAATGTATTGATATAGTGAACTATCGGTTACAATGAACTCTCACTAACAATCAGCGCAAACATAGGAAATGTATTGTTATTATGATTACCATTAATATAGCAATTGATTACTATATTTAGCAAAACATATGACGTTATTGACTGAAATTGAATACAACTTTGAAAGCATACAAAACTATTGGTAACGAGTGGTGTGTATAAGAAAAGGTACCAAACATTAAGGTTTTGTATGCGTATAGAATTGGGCCGTTTTGATGGCCAATGGGTTGACTTGTGTTGACTAGTGTTGCGCGAACTGGTATTGCAGTGAATGGACACAAACCCAACAAAAGGTCCAAAAGGTTGGCTTCAATAGTAGTGTTGTGTTTGTTGTGCTGTTGTGTTGGTTAACACATAAACACAATTTATTGACGAAACTGTAATCGTATGTAAGATTTACCAGTAATAGTGAAGCAGTGTTTACGTTGAGTGCTGTGTAGTGTCTGTGTTGTGCTCAAGACATGCACTGATAATTGTTTGATCCCAAGAGTGACCCAAACAATGGCTGAGCCGACACCGAGTGGCGGACCAAAGGAGTGTCACAAATACGTGCAGCGCGTCGTCCATCGGGTCTGTATTGCTATGACTTGTGTTGACATAATTGACACAATTGTTAACAATGTATTCAAACCATACAATCGCTCACTTGTTTAGACCCCACCAATACTGAGGGACCCTAGAGTTGAGGTAAACACCAATCACTAGACACCCGACACTACATGCCGTCCCATCACATCCCGACTATCGGCCACACATTGACCACTACTTGTTATGACTAATATTATGGTTTGCTCTTTGTTTTGGTGTTGACAGACAGCGGAA